TTTTTTTTTTTTTTTGTATTTTTAGTAGAATTGAGGTTTCACCATATTGGTCAGGCTGGTCTCACAAACTCCTGACCTCAGGTGATCCGCCTGTCTTCCATCTCAAAGTGTAAAGTAGGGATTTCAGCCTACTTACTAACAGGCTAGTGGCAGCGGAAGGTAGGTCCCTGCTGCTGGGAGAAAGCCAACGGCCAGGCCCACCTGATATCACTCCGGAAGGAGCGAGAGGTTCAGGCACCGAGGGGCAGACTCATCTCTTCCAGCCACTCTGCACACGACAGTTTCTGAGACATCTCAGGAAACCTGCATGCTGGGGTGTGTGTGTGAACTTTCAAATTTTTTCCCATCACTTTGTGAGGTTTTTGGTTTTTTGCTTTTTGTTTTGTTTTGTTTTGTTTTTTGAGACAGAGCCTCGTTCTGTTGCCCAGGCTGGAGTGCAGTGGCACGATCTCGGCTCACTGCAACCTCCACCTCCCAGGTTCAAGCGATTCTCCTGCCTCAATCTCCTGAGTAGCTGGGATGACAGGCACGCACCACCACGCCCGGCTAATTTTTGTATTTTTAGCAGAGATGGGATTTCACCATGTTGGTCAGGCTGGTCTCGATCTCCTGACCTCATGATCTGCCCGCCTCGGCCTCCCAAAGTGCTGGGATTACAGGCGTGAGCCACTGTGCCCGGTGATAATATTACTTCTGAATAGGAGTATCTAGGCTTTCACCATCCTGTAGTGTGCATTTATTCTCAAGAGCAGTTAGAAACAGGACAGTCACCAGCCTTCAAACGAACGAACGAACCAAGCAAGCCCAAGCCACACCTTGGAATCGCATTCTCGTCCAGAGCTTTCTTGCAGCCCTGAGGCAGCCCTGGGGATGGAGGGAGAGTGAGGTCAGAGGCCTCGGCCCCTTGCTCTGAGCCACTAGTAGGAGGTGACTCGAAGTGCCTCCTGGATCACACCCCTGTCCACATCAAGCCTGCAGCAGATGAGGCGAGGCCAGTGTTACAGGTGAGACGTGGGGCCTCCCAAAGGCACGTCGCCAGCCTGGGGTCACATGGTTGCTAAATGGCAATGCCAGGAGGAAGGAAAGTCCAGGTCTGCCAGGCTCTTCGTTTAGGCTTCCTTTGTCTACATTACAGGAGGCCTGAGCCTAGAGGACAAGTAGGTGAGGATGTGGGGTTGCCATGGCAATGAAAGAGGCCCTGGGCGAGGCAGAAAGCAGCCAGAGCCCTCCAGTCTTTGCTGTCCTCTCCAGGCACAAGGAGGAAGGAGCTGGACCCAGGTCGGAAGCAGCGTGGTACAGTCCACATTCTCCAGGTTGCTGTGCCCAGGAGGGGCCTCAGGGGATCGCAAGCAGCTGTGTTGATGCTCAGAGAGCAAGGGGTCATGACCTGGAGGTTTGTTTGAAAACCTGCATAAACATCTTCTATCAGAGGGAGGGCTTATGCTCCTTAGCCAAACAAGCTGTTGGACATGATGTATTGTGAGACGATTTGTTAAGTCTGAGCTGGGGCCATAAGCTCTCCCAAACCCCAAAGTCTTCTCTAGAGAAGGCTTCATCTCCAGGCAGAGGATCCCAGTTTGCATCTCGCTCTCTTCGCTGCACTGAAAGATGCTTCCCAGAAGCCGGCCCTGTCCCCTCAAGCAGGAGCTCTATCTCGGCTGTTAGCTGGGACCCAGACCCCACCCTTTCCCCACTGCTCGACCTTGCCTTTTATGAGCTGAAGGCCAAGATGATCCTCCTGCCCTCTGGCCTGGAGCCAGCACCTGCAGAGAAGTCTGCATTGAGAGGGAAAAGGGGGTATGGAGAAGGTGGCGGGGGAGACAGAGAATGGGGAAGGACCCTCCTCCCACAGCTGTCCCCATTGCAGAAAATGACAATCCATCCTTTTGATGACTTGGATTGAGGTTCTTGGAGTCATTCTCAGTGTTTCTCTTTCAGTCACAACCCTCTCCAATCTATCAAGAAATTATCTTGACTCTACCTTCAAGGTACAGCCAGAACCAGACCATTCTTCTTGCCTCCCTTGTACCTGCCTCATGCAGGCAGCATCACCTCTGCCTCCTAATAGCTCTTCCTGCTTCTGCTCTTGTCCCCTTACGGCCCTGCAGTGAGCCCCACAGCCATGAAATCAGGTCATGCACGATGGCTGCCCACTTCTCCCCATCAAAGCCAAAAGCCTGCAACAGGCAGCACTGGCCCTCATCCCACCATTTCTTGCAGGTGCCCTTTGGCACCCCCAAGAAGGGACGAAAAGGGGCGGGTGCCCTTGGTCTCTCTGCTAAGTCATCAGAGGTAAAATCATCACCAATCCCAAGAGCCTGGGGGGAACACCGAGACGGTCGTTCGAAGAATATGGCAGCCCTCCACATTCCTCATCTGCTCTTCTCTCCTCACTCTCTCCACTCCAGCCAGGCTGGCCTCAGATACATGAGCATCTCTTCTGCTTGGAACATTCCCCTCCAGTGACCTTCTAGGGTCCCTCCCAGGTCTCCTTGTCTTTGATCAAATACCACCTTCTCAATGAGGCCACTCAAATGACCCTATTGAATACTGCAACATACCCACCCTCACCCTGTCCTGTTTTTCTTTTCCACAACACTTAACACCGTCCACACCCACATCACAGAACGTAGTAGGTCTATTATCTGCTAGAATGTAAGCTCACTGAGAGCAGGGCTCTCCCTGATGTGTTCCCAGGACCTAGAGCAGTGTCTGGTATATACCAGATGCTCAGTAATTATTGAATGAATAAATGGATGGGCTGGACTTGGTGGCTCACGCCTATAATCCCAAGACTTTGGGAGGCCAAGGCGGACGGCTCACCTAAGGTCAGAAGTTCGAGACCAGCCTGGCCAACATGGTGAAACCCTCTCTACAAAAAATATAAAAATTAGCCGGTCAAGGTAGGGCATGCCTGTAGTCCCAGCTACTCAGGAGGCTGAGGCAGGAGAATCACTTGAACCTGGGAGGCAGAGGTTGCAGTGAGCTGAGATCTCGCCAC